ATTTTGAAATCCACGATGGTGGTCATCCATGCAAGAAAAACTGTCAAATACCCTACAATATCGATGTCAGGCGCCATTTCGAAATCCAAGATGGCGGCCATCAGTTCAAGAAAAACTGTCAAATACTCTACAATATGGGTATTTTCGAAAAGGGGATGACGTGTAGAGGCTGGAAATCGATGCCAGACGCAATTTAGGAATCCAAGATGGCGGCCATCGGTTCAAGAAAAACTGTCAAATACCCTACAATATGGGTATTTCTGGAAAGGGGATGACGTGTAGAGGCCGAAAACCGATGCGAGATGCCATTTTTTAAATCCAAGATGAAAGCCATCGGTTCAAGAAAAACTGTCAAATTCCCTACAATATAGGTATTTTCGGAAAGGGGATAACGTTAGGAGGCCGGAAATAGATGCCAGACGTCATTTTATAATCCAATATGGCGGCGATCTGTTCAAGAAAAACTGTCAAATACCCTAAAATATGGGTATTTCTGGAAAGGGGACAACATGTAGAGGCCGGAAAAGGATGCCAGATGCCATTTTGAAATCCAAGATGGAGGCCATCGTTTCAAGAAAAACTGCCAAATACTCTAAATATCGGTATTTCCGGAAAAGTAATACACTGATCGTTGGTAAAAAAAGAAATTGAAAGTGTTCAGTATTGCCTTTACCAAGTGTTCAACTGTGATGAAACAAAACTGTTTTATGTCTCAGAGCATCTGAAAACAATGCTGGGACCGAAAGGGGACAAACAAGGGTTCTCAATCATGTTTTTCTCTAAAGCAAAATTTACAGGAAGTAAATCTCCCTGGGCATTATCGTGGCTACAAGAAAGGTTGGATGACCCGAGTATTATTTGAGGACTGGATAAACGACTGCTTCTCACCACAGTTGGAGGAGTTTTGCGCAGCCAAGAACATTAGCTTCAGGTCTTTGCTGCTCCTTGATAACGCTCCGTTGCATCCGCCCACCATAAGCAATCCCAACATAATGCTTCTATACATGCCACCAAAAATCACGTCTTTGATTCAACCCCTTGATCAAGGCATCATCAAAAATTTCAAGCTGAAGTATGTCAAAAGAAGAGAAGGAAACAGCCGAGAATGAAGGCCTTTCACTAGCGGATACACGAAAGTAGATCAGCATCAAGAATTGTTTCACCTGCTTAGATGTGATTCTAAAGGACACAAAACAAAGCACGTTGATAAACTGCTTGAAGAAAATTCTTCCGTCGTATTTCGCGAATTCACAATGCAATGAAGACGCCAATGAGGATTTGCAGATCATGTCCGAAATTCAACATATTCACGGAAAGTTTGGTGCGCCGAGGATAAGAAACACGGTGAAATCAACGAAATCATAAGAGATGAACCGGCTACAGTAGATGAAATTATTACCGAACTGGACCCATCTACAATGAATATGCATTATATTTTCATCCCACCATCACCTGTCCGACTTCGAAAGCTTCTGCACATTGGACAGTTATGTCGAACAGAGTGCAAAAATCCAAGATTTGCTAAGGGAAGTCAAAACGTTGCCATCTTGCTCAACGATACGTTATATACATTATACAAATTATGCGCAACATGCTTGGTTTAGGAAAATTAATGCGAGGCAAGATTTTGAGCTCCAAAATACCTTAAAACATTAATTAGACAAAATTCATCTTCCTAGTGGATTATCGCAAAACCTACCCCGTACACGGTCCACGTTAACTGTGCTGAATTGATACGAGGCTATCCATAGCCACTAAATGTCCCCTGGAAAGTCAATTCCATCATTTTGGATCCCAAAATGGTGGCAGACATCGATTTTGGGCCTATACACGTCGTCCCCATTAATAGTTTACGTTAAAGCAAAGGCCGCCATCTTCAATTTCAAAATGGAGTCTGGCATCGATATCGGACCTCCACACGTCGTTCCCTTTCCACAATTAATACCCATATTTTGGAATTTGACAGTTTTTATTGAACCGATGCCCGCCAGCTTTGATTCCAAAATGGCGACGTCATCCCCTCTCCGAAAATACCCATATTGTAGGGTATTTGACAGTTTTTCTTGAACCGATGGCCACCATATTGGATTCCTAAATTGCGTCTGGCATCGATTTCCAGCCTCTACACGTCATGCCCTTTCCGAAAACACCCATATTGTAGGTTATTTGACATTTTTTCTTGAATCGATGACCGCCAACTTGGATTTCAAAATGGCGTCCGAAATCGATTTACACACTTAGTTTTCTCTACCGAGCTTGGCTGTGCAAATATCGGAAAAAAAAGTTTCACTGAGATCTCAGTAAGTTACTCTACTCGTTGACGTGGAACTGCTATCAGTATAACGAAAAGGCGAGAAACTGAAAGAATTGGAAAAAAGTTCTGTGCCGAGACAAACCCAATTATAAGTGTTAACATTGAACAGTACAGATTTAGAATCAGCGAGTGAGTCGTCTATATGAAATTTGAGTTTATTTGACACACATTTGACTTTTATTAATTAATCATCTATTTCAAATAAAAATATTTATTATACTCAGCTGAGTAACTGCTCTCTATTATCTGGCCAATCGCCGCCTGTCGTTTATTCTCAGCTACAATTAAAAGCTTCATTTATATCCTGTCAGTGAAGGCAGCATTTCAGTGCCAACATTTCAAAGGGGCGTAATTGTATTTGTAAACAATGGCTTTAACCGTCGATTTCTCGCGAATAAAAGCTCACTCACGAAAAATAATGACACCAGTAGGTAGAGGAATGTTTCCTCTACCAGCTAGCATTGTTATTTTGGAGAGGTAAGATTTCATTCGCGAGAAATTGACGGCTAAAGTCATTGTTTACAAAAGCAATTACGCCCCTTTAAAATGTTGGCACTGATTTCTTCTTCTGTTACGGAATGCTTACTTTTGCGTTGTTTACAGTCGTGCTTTTTTTTTCCTATCTCAAAGCGATCATGTTCTGCAATTGAGACCACCGTCGTTGGTTTGAAAGCAAAAAATTAATCCAACTCGCAAAACAAGAATGTAGGAAAAACCACCGATGCTAATCTGAAATATAATCCTCATTTCTTTTAATCATCTCTTTGAACCGGGTGGGATTGGCACGATCGGTGGTAGAGGGAAGCCGCAAGAAATCCCGTCTCATTATACTGCAATTAACACGCGCTCAACTTGCGAGTCTTGAAGATCGTCGTTGTCTTTTATATGAGCATTACCGAGAGAGCGGTTGTCAGCGCGAAAAATTACGATCAATCTTGTGATGCTCATCGGACTTAAGGGGGACCAGTGCTGCATCCATCAAGCTTTGAGCGCCGTGGTTGGCTTGACATTGATTTAAGCTAGGAAGAGGAGATTATTCCTTTTAGTCCGCCTATTAGCAGATCGCGTGGGCTGCAGGATCGTATGTACCGGCTGTTGGGCAATTCCGCTAATGAGAATGCGAATTCAACCGCAGAATTTTTAATTAGGGTATCTAATCCCCAGTGATCTGCACCATTTGCATTTCATTCTATTTCGAAATTGTTTTTCTGTATGCCAGCGTCATGTTGACAAACAAACCAACCGTCATACTCTCAAGATCAAGATTTCAAAGTCACACCAATAAATTATGAAATATTATGCCTCGTCTTTATTTTGAGCTTATGTCACTGTCAGCCAACGTGCCTCGTCAACTGAATGCATTTGTATCGCGTGTTCTTTCTCTCGCTCCTCAACTCAAAGTGACTGATTTGCGGTAATCGTCGAAGACTACAAAGACGCCAAACGAAAATATAAAGGAAGATATAACCTTACGGGCAAAACAACAGGCAAACAGTCTGACTGAAAAATGCAATTGTTCACGGGAAGCAACCCACATGAATGTTAGCATCGCTGCAAAAGTGCAATGAGAAAAACTTTTCCTGTGTATGTAGGTATTCTACGGAACACGACTTGACATTGAAACTTGGATATACGGTTGAAGGACTTTTCTCTCTCGCTCTCTCTCTCCATCTAGATGGAATACCCACGGAGTTTTGTGCCCCTCGTTCTTGATTACTGCAGGCTTGCGGCAAGTGTCACCACACCACACCACATAATGCGTGGAGGTGGTCGCTCATGATGCATATTTGTCGCGATAATGTTTATTATTTATGGGTAGACAAGACGAGTAATTTGAAAGTTGGGTAGACGAAAAAACGATTACGGTGTAAACGATCAAGTCATCCTGGAAAATTTAACCTTCCACTACGCTTTGAAGCAGTAAACAAGTGCCTACTATGGAATCAATATTTGTGTTGAGGTTTGCTTGCTCACAAACAAAGCAACCCAATGATTGATCATTTAAAACAATGAGCGACGGGGGGTCTCACGATGGCCGTGACTTGGAACTGTCATTCTAGTACCGCATCAACATCAACCTTGATAGGTAGTGGGAGGGAAGCATCGTTTTCGGGATTAAATTTCAAGTTTCCCTTTCGCTTCACCCGAGTGATGTTGAACGCTATTGTTATTGTTGTGACTAAACTTGGCACAAGTAGCTGAAGATTTATGAATCCGAATCCGAAACTTCAAAGCCGTATGCGCACGGCCGTACGATATTCAGGTTGAGATGACGACGGCGGCCTCGAAAGTGGATTGTAAGCACAAAATAATTGTAAGGCCCTGTCGAGAGCGTTCAAGTGTGGGGGCGTTGTCCAAATGTACGGAAATAAACAGAAATGTTTTGAAGAGAGCAAGAGAGATCCAATCTCTGAATTTGAACGGTCAATTGTTGTCCCGAGATTGAGAAAACAGATGCCTGATTTCGTCGAGTGGAAACGACTAACAAGATTAGCGCCATTAGCGCTGGAAATGATAATGTGTCGATTTTCGGATCGAACTGGTCGTTAACAGCCGCCGTCCGTCTGTAGTTGAATGGACTGGACTTGCGTAACAACTCGCACTCGTAACAGTTGTGCGTCAATTTGATATGAGTGACATCATAGTACAATGGCACTGTTCTAATGGGCGGGAAACTTGAACTTACCAGCGCGGAAGATTTCCCCACAACCGTCACATCTGGAAGCGAACTGGGCATCGTAGCAGTTTCCACAGTAGATCTTGTCGGCCTTGGAGCCGAACTGTTTGTCGACTAGCGAAATGCGGCACTTGTTGCACAGGAAGCACGCCTCGTGCCAGTGCTTGTCTTTGTAGGACAGGTCCTGAAAAAGGAAGAAAATTTTGTTGGATTAGGTTTGTGAAGTTGTTTTAAAGTGACAGTTAATGAACGCTCAAAATGTGTTCTCTCCTGAATGAAGGTTGTGACAGAAACTCTTGCAGCACAACATTCATTTTTTTTTATGATAATGGTCCCACCTCTTACCCCTACAAAGGTTTGAGCTGGACGATTTATCTTTAAGATAATTAAATATGATATTTTAACCAGGTTGGCAAACAAAATCGAACTGGTTTCAGTTACAGATATAAATTCCCTCTAGAGTTTACAGTTGCTTCACAGCGATATAAATGTGGAAAAGCTCAGGCGTCCACCTCTTAGTTCGCCTTTTTGTCCACCTAAAATATTCATAAGTATTACAAGCAATCAAGACTTAATGAACAATCAACAAAGCATCCTATTACACTAGCAACCCCGCAATCTGATGCTATCATAATTTTCAGCAATGTCAGGAATGCTCACGAACCCCTAACATTTGCCAGAAAACTTACTACTAACTCAAGGTATCTTTCAAATAAGCTTCAAAATTGCATTTTTTTTTTATCAAATGTTAAATTCAGTCCTCTATATCCGTAATACGCGCGCGAGGCTCAAACCTTTGTAGACTACTTTTTTTTTTAATTAATCTACTATTAAATCAAATATTAAAAATCCATCATCACCCTCGTGGCAAACAGAAATAGTTTTTGCAGTGCTACAATAATTATTAAAAAGTCGTTATGACATCTATCCATATAAAATAATCCGTTAGAGATAACTTCGTCAAGATACATAATTTGTCAATTCATTAAAAAAAAATCACTGGATAACTGTTCAAAAGACAGTTTTAACGTGTGAAATGCAGTGTCTTTTAAATTCTGTAAGTGTTGCTGAACGTTTGATATGTCTAGGCATCGAATTGAAAACATTTATTCCTTTATAATATAATGAATTTTGTGAAGCACAAGTCAAGAAATGTGGTGTTCTTATTTCAACCGCGTTTCTAGTATTATATCTATGAAAGGCACTTTCTCTTTCAATTCGATCACACAAATATCGAGGCAGCAAACCGTTAACTACTTTAAAAATGAACACCATAGTCAAATATACAATTCTTTGCTTCACCGACAACCATTGTAAGGCGTCTAGCATCAAAGTTGTGGTAAGGAATCTATTATATCTCAATATCAAACGCATTATTTTATTTTGCAAGCGCTGTAATATCGATATTTGTGTTGCATTGGCCAGAAATAAAATGGAAGGGAAAAAGTCAAGATGAGGAGAGATGATCGATTTGTATAGCTGTATTTTACTGGCAATAGTTAAATCGTTTTTCAGTCCAAATAGAATTCCATACTTCTTGGCAATTTTCTTGATGACATTGTCAATGTGAGAGTTGAACTTAAGTGTGTCATCAATAATCACGCCAAGATATTTAATCTCCCGAACGCGATCAATAGTCTCATCATCAATTACAACAGAGACGTTCTCATTTACTCGATTCCGCGAAATTACCATAAATTTAGTTTTACTTGTATTCAATTTTAACTGCTTATACTTCAACCATCTACTTAGAGAACGCAAATCTTCATTCAAGTGCAAAACGGCATCATCTAAATCCTTAGCTGCAATGAGTAACACAGTATCATCTGCAAAAAGATTAATGTCGCAAAATCGTAAATCACGTCGCAAGTCATTAATATACATAATAAATAACAGGGGCCCTAATACACTTCCCTGGGGTACTCCAAGGTTATTCTGCACGGGACTGGAAACAGAATCATTAAAAACAGTCCGTTGAGTTCTGTCAGACAAATAGTTTTCAAATCATTTATACGCAGTACTCGTAATTCCAAAGCGCTTGATTGATCTTAATAATAAGGGCCTAGAAATTGTCTCAAAAGCGCGTTTAAGAACCAAAAAAACAGCAACAATCGTATCTTTACACTCCAAGTTATTTTTCCACTTCGATAATACTAAATTCAACGCGGTTTCACAAGAATGACCTTCCCGATATCCCGATTGTTCTGGTATCAACAAACTATTACTATTTAAATACTCCAACAGCTGGCCTTTAACAACAAGTTCTAAAATTTTCTCTAATGTGTGCAACATGTTGATGGGACGAAACTCTTCGGCTTTAATCGTTCCAGCAACTTTTTGAATAGGGACCACTAAGGATTCCTTCCAAATTTGTGGCACATGTCCAGTTTGTAATAATTCATTAATAAGGTCCAGCAAGATGTGGCCAATAACATGAGAGCAATCTTGAATAACTCTAGCATTAACATTATCTACTCCAGCCGATTTTCCTAATGAAAAACAAATAACTCTAAGTTCATTGGGTGAAAAACTTCAAATCTACAATTAACTGGCTGTTTTATTTCGTCAGGTTCATTGACCAATTCAATGGATTGATTAATCAATGAAACACTGTCTACAAAATAATCATTTAACTTAGCTGCAATTACTTGTTCTGACTGTTCTAATGTGCCATTAAAAGTTATGGACCGCGGTTTGCAATTACTAGGTTTTAATAAAGATTTCAAAATTTTCCATAACTCTTTGCTGTTGTTTTGATGCTGATCAATCTTTTTTTGAACATATTCACAACGAGTTTTCTTTATCGATTGTGTACCTAGTCCAATGATTGTCATTAATAGATCTACAAAACTTTTTGTAGCATTTGTCCCTTTTCCGTTTAAGACGCAAAAGATCCAAATTGTACCAGCTGTTCGAGTTCTTCAAAGAAACAAACTTTTGCTCAACTAGTTGATTAGTACACGTTTTCAAAGCGTTATTAACAAGATTCGAAACAGCTTGCTTCGAATATTTCCTCCAGCACTTCAATTTTACAAAATTATCGTTATCGTTAACATGGTCTAAGACATTAATCACTAAGGTCTCATGATCGGTTATTTTCAAATCAGTATCCGTAACTGAACAAATGGAATCTTAATTGGAATAAACGTGGTCATTTAAAGTTCTACTGTGCCTGGAATTACGCGTATATCCGTTTGCTTTAAATTAAAAAAAAAACTCAGCTAAACGCTTCAAATGATTCGAATTATGGTTATCACGCCAATTAATATTATAATCACCAGCCAATATATTTAATTTACTAGAATCAAGGAATGTCTCAAGCCAGTTCTCTAAAACTTCAACAAAACGCTGGTCACTAGAACTAGGAGAATGATACACATTCATACTATGACGCCCGACACTACACGGCGAATGAGAACGACCCAAATTTGAGTTTAGTTCACTCATTATCGCCAAAAGTGCAGGAACTCAGCGATGAGTAAAATGTGTCTCATGTTTTCCCAGGTTTTTCCAGGATTTTCCAGGGAAAAATTCCCGAATTTGAGAAAAGTAAAGATTGGATTCACTCAGTCTATTGGTACTACTCCGAGACTGAATAAAATTTTCGTCAATTTCCTCATTTTCCGGCAGATTTTTTAGGTTTTCTACAGGAAACCATGAGACAAATTTACTCATCACTGTGTTCCTGCATTTTTGGCGATTATGAGTGAACTAAACTCAAATTTGGGTCGTTCTCATTCGCCGTGTATTCAATTGAACCAGAGCACAGTGGGACGAAATCAAAACTACTGCGACATGGCTATTTACGACGAAACCATTATGTGTAGCATTTTGATGTCTTCTGAAGTGTTTCTTTATTTTTTGAGTACTGAAAGTTTTTGGTCAATTCCTGAAAGTAGACTTACAGATCCGCGATTTTTTTTTTCTAATTTGCCTACAATCATGTGCATAAAAGAAATATGCCATAATCATATAGATTCTGCTATCGAGTGGCCAGAAAACGGACCTCTGGATATCCGGAATCACCGAGAAAATGGTTAATAAGTCAACATCGAATATAAGAATGACATACATAGCATCGCAGGTTTAAGTTAAGTCGTATAGAATGCTTTTATAGGACTTTCCGCCATTTCCGGGATCATCTAAACCCCAGATAATCCCCATTTTTTCAGCCAGAAGAACAACTGAAAAATCAGCAAGAACATGCTGCTATGTTCACGTTTTCTGGAATTGTGGAGAGCAACTCTGACTCAACTAGGAACATTATTAATTTGGTGCTTCCAATTGTGAAAACTCTTTTGAAGCAACTAGCTTCTAGGTGGTCCTTCCTTGCATCGATCATATCTTTTGATGCATAATGTTCCGAATGAGGTCGGGTATATGATCCCTGTTCTTCAGTGGAACTGTACAAGTCTTATACCGAAACATTGACATATTCAAATTTTTAGTTCACAGCTCACTTTGTGATGCATTTGCTCCTTGTGAAGCATGTCTTTCTTCAGACACCGATCTCCCTTTCCACGATTTTAAAATTATTCGCCTTGATCGAGCAGATTCGTATGGAGGGGTGCTTCTCGGGATTAATAAGCTCCATTCTTTTTATAGAATCGATCTGCCTTCCGTGACAGGCATTGAAGTTGTCGCATGTCAGGTAAATATTCGAGGTAAAAGCCTCAGTATTGCCACAGTATATCTTCCTCCAAGAGCTTCGATCTCTCGCCAAGGTCTGTCAGAAATACTGCTCTGCTTTATCTGAGCCTCGGTTGATCTTAGGAGATTTTAACTCCCACGGTACAGGCTGGGGGGAACTGTACGATGACAACCGCTCAACCCTGATCTACGACCTTTGCGATAACTTCAATATAACAATTCTAAACCCTGGGGAAATAACACGAGTGGCCAAACCTCCAGCAAGAGAAAGTAGATTAGAACTCTCGCTCAGTTCGAGTTCACTATCGTTGAATTGCTCGTGGAAATTAATCCAAGATCCCTACGGTAGTGACCACTTGCCAATCAAAATTTCTATTACCAATGCACACTGGGCCAGGAATGCAATTTAGCGGAGCAAAATTAATAACTCCGAAACGAAGTATTTTCGCGACTTGGTGTCTTCGGCAAAGTTTCTCATCATAATGAGACCCATCTATTGACATAAACAAATAGTTCAAAACTCTTCCGCAAAGATAGCACCACAATCTAACTTCTTTCTCTGTGGGTTTGGAGACTTGATGTCCTCATCAAAGTTGTTTATGTTGACAAAATAAACAACTCTTTTGAAGACGAAAAATTTCCACCGCCTACTGGTCCCGAGTTATATGGAGTTGAAGAAAAAAAATATGGTTTTTTCTTTCTGTTTCGGATTTTTTGCTTACAACCATGCAATGTTATATTTTTCTATTATGCAAATGCATCAAATAAATAACTTTTGTAAAGAAACATACTGGTTTAACCTTCAAATTTTAAAGATATTGTTGAAAAAACGACAATAACAACAATTTTTGAACTTTAATATCTCCCAAAGCGCAAAAAATCGCAACCTGACATTTTCAGCAAAAAATAAGCAATACTCGATAAACAAAATATCAAAATATGAGAGAGGTATATTTTGGTGTTTTTTAGATTTCTTCATTTTAGTGAAACACGTTTTTTTTAATGCATTGAAATGGCGTTTTGAAAACTTGACGACCTTGGCAAAGTTGTTTATCTTGATAAAATAAACAACTCTTCTTAAGACGTCAAAACTCCACAGCCTACTGTTTTCGAGTTATATGCCTTTAAACAATATATTTAAAATAAACCCCCTTATTCTATTTTTTTTTTGTGTAATTCCATACACCGTTACAAAAAAAAAATAATTACGTTTTGATTTTTCTATAAATATTGAAAAAAAGGTTTCAAACATAAAAACAAATCACATTTTTTCTAATTTTTCAAAGAAAATTCACGTGCAAAAACATTTTTATAAGTCATTATGGCGTAAAGTTGGACTCAAAAAACCAAAAAACACCGACTTTTCGATTTTGCTGATGGTTCATTTTTTCATGATGAGATAGAAAAAATATTTTTGCATTGCATGTATTTTTTGACAAAAAATCTATGGAAGAAGAAACTGATTTTCTAGAATTTTTGATAGTTTTCCCCAATATTTTTAGAATTTTTTTTTTAATTTTCGGGCCGGTAAACTTCCCCTTAACTCCATATAACTCGGAACCAGTAGGCGGTGGAAATTTTACGTCTTGAAAAGAGTTGTTTATTTTGTCAACATAAACAACTTTGCATCAAGTCTCCAAAACGTCAGAGAAAGAAGTTAGATTGTAGCGCCATCTTTGCAGAAGAGTTTTGAACTATTTGTTTATGTCAATAGATGGTCCTTAATATGATGAGAAACTTTGCCCAAGACACCAAGTCGCGGAAATGCTTCGTTTCGGAGTTATTAATTTTGCTCCGCTAGATTACATTACATTGCCCAGTGTGGCGATGGTTCATCGTCCACCCACTCGACTCGGTTGATATCGCGACCTCACGAAAAACATCGACTGGCAAAAATTTGCGTCCGCGGCTCTCGGTGGTACTGATTCGGTTGAGATACTCCCTCCGCTTGAAAAGTACTCATTTTTATCGCGACTTATCGTTGATAGCGCTCTTCAAGCACAGACAAAACACGTTCCGGGTGATTCCGTTCGCAAACGACCTCCCACTCCGTGGTGGGATAAGGATTGCACCGACGCAAACAGCGAGAAGTCCGCCGCGTTTAAACGGTTCCGCAAACACGGTAAGGTCGGGAATTTCGAGCGGTACACCGACCTCGAGAAAACTTTTAAGGGCCTGAATAAAGCCAAAAAACGCGGTTACTGGCGTCGATTCGTCGATGGTTTGTCGCGAGAGACTTCTATGAGAACACTCTGGAATGTCGGCAGGAGCATGCGAAATGCGTCATCACCGATAAATGAAGACAAGGAGTACTCGGACAGATGGATTTTCAGCTTCGCGCGCAAAAGTTTTCCCGGATTCGGTGTCGGTTCAAACCAACGTTCGTGATCGTCCGTCGTGTAGTAACGAAATAGATTTCCCGTTTTCGATGGTGGAATTCTCACTTGCGCTCCTCTCATGTAACAACGCAGCTCCAGGAATGGATAGAATCAAGTTCAACTTGCTTAAAAATCTCCCAGACGTCGCGAAGAGACGCTTGTTGAACTTATTCAATCAATTTCTGGAGCACAACATTGTTCCGGATGATTGGAGGCAAGTAAGAGTTATCGGCATATGAAAACCCGGTAAACCCGCGTCGGATTATAACTCGTACCGTCCCTTCGCGATGCTGTCCTGTATATGGAAATTGTTGGAGAAAATGATCCTTTTTCGTCTAGACAAATGGGTCGAGTCGAATGGTTTACTTTCAGATACGCAATTTGGATTTCGGAGAGGCAAAGGAACGAGCGACTGTCTTGCGTTGCTTTCAACTGAAATTCAACTGGCCTATGCGCAAAAACAGCAAATGGGCGCAGTTTTCTTGGACATTAGGGGCTTTTGTCCTTTCGGATAAACTCCACGATAGTGGGCTTTCACCAATTATGAACAACTATTTGAGCAACTTGTTGTCTGAGAAATATACATATGAGCTTTTCTCATGGAAACTCGACAACTTCACGAATTAGTTACATAGGACTCCCCAGGGCTCATGTTTAAGCCCCCTTCTTTATAATTTTTATGTAAAAGACATTGATGGTTGTCTTCATAAAAATTGCTGTTAGGATTACGGAGAATCCCCGGTTGGGATTCTGGAGAATCCCCGGTTGGGATTCTGGAGAATCCCCGGTTGGGATTCTGGAGAATCCCCTGTTGAGATTCTGTAGAATCCCCGGTTGGGATTCTGGAGAAACCCCGGTTGGGATTCTGGAGAAACCCCGGTTGGGATTCTGGAGAATCCCCAGTTGGGATTCTGGAGAATCCCCGGTTGGGATTCTGGAGAATCCCCGGTTGGGATTCTGGAGAATCCCCGGTTGGGATTCTGGAGAATCCCCGGTTGGGATTCTGGAGAAACTCCGGTTGGGATTCTGGAGAATCCCCGGTTGGGATTCTGTAGAATCCCCGGTTGGGATTCTGGAGAATCCCCGGTTGGAATTCTGGAGAATCCCCGGTTGGGATTCTGGAGAATCCCCGGTTGGGATTCTGGAGAATCCCCGGTTGGGATTCTGGAGAATCCCCGGTTGGGATTCTGGAGAATCCCCGGTTGGGATTCTGGAGAATCCCCGGTTGGGATTCTGGAGAATCCCCGGTTGGTATTCTGGAGAATCCCCGGTTGGGATTCTGGAGAATCCCCTGTTGGGATTCTGGAGAATCCCCGGTTGAGATTCTGGAGAATCCCCGGTTGGGATTCTGGAGAATCCCAGGTTGGGATTCTGGAGAATCCCCGGTTGGGATTCTGGAGAATCCCCGGTTGGGATTCTGGAGAATCCCCGGTTGGGATTCTGGAGAATCCCCGGTTGGGATTCTGGAGAATCCCCGGTTGGGATTCTGGAGAATCCCCGGTTGGGATTCTGGAGAATCCCCGGTTGGGATTCTGGAGAATCCCCGGTTGGGATTCTGGAGAATCCCCGGTTGGGATTCTGGAGAATCCCCGGTTGGGATTCTGGAGAATCCCCGGTTGGGATTCTGGAGAATCCCCGGTTGGGATTCTGGAGAATCCCCGGTTGGGATTCTGGAGAATCCCCGGTTGGGATTCTGGAGAATCCCCGGTTGGAATTCTGGAGTATCCCCGGTTGGAATTCTGGAGAATTCCCGACTGGATAATTGTGTTCAGAATTGCAAGATGCATGGTTTTTCAATTCCTTTTAATGGATTATTTCAAATTTTGCATATACACCAATCCTTGGCAAAAGTCTGTATTGATCTAGTACCCCACCCATCGCTGAACAAGGACTGTAATCCTCTGAAAATCACCCACAACTCACCTTAGAATCGATGCCGATCGTCTTGTTGCACTCCTCGCACACGTTGGCGAACACGTTCTCGTAGCACTTGATGCAGTACGGGTGCTCGTCGCGCAGCACGTACCGCTGGCCAGTGAGACTTTCGTCGCACTGCCAACAGCAGAAGTGACCCGAATGCCAATCCTTCGACATAGCCTTGGTGTACTCGCCACTGAAAATTAGCTGTAAATCAAAATAAACACGAAAAAACAGCCGTTAGTTGATTTGTTGATTACTAGCAATGTTCCATCGAATAATCTAGTGGTAATGGGTTAGATTGAAATTTCCGCCTGTGTCCTGTCACCACCATGTATGTGTACCTTGGCATTAGTCGGGGGTAACAGCGGCCTTGGACCTCCTTTGGTGAAGTTGAGAAAGAACAGGTGTCGCCGAGTGCAACTCATCATATCCCACACACACACTCACACACACGCGCACGCATAGCTCAAGGTTAACAGACTACAATTTGCTAATTCATTTCTGCCGAAAATGCATTACATCAGCGCTCTGTGACCGGACATCGGTCTTGAAAAGATGCATTTGTTTCTAGTTTGGACTCTTTTTGCTTCTCAAATAGGCCACCCACACACTGACACACATTGACTGGGTTGGAGCATATTTCGGTGAAATATTGCTATTCCAAAAATAGCAGACACATTCGAAAATCGTGCACCGGTGTGTTTTTCCAACCGAGCCACAAACATATTCGACATTTGAGTGGAAAAACTCGGTCATCGGTGCGAGCCGAGTGCAAAATAATGTTTCTAAATTCTTAACAGTATCGCTTGAATGATTTGGGGAGGGGTTGAAAACTATTACTACAAACGTAACCAAATGTAACGCTTGTCACTGAATCACTGATGGAATGACAGTTGGCAGATAGCTGTCGTTTGTTTACAAACTCCGACATTGCTCTTTGAACAGAATTCCCTAAATTGTAGTGCAGACTACATTTTTCATCCACGCTCAGGTGCAAACGGAGCAGTCTCCGCCAGTCTACGTGGGTGTTGATGAAAAATGGCGCCTTCTCAGTTATTACCCGCTCTAAAGTTTAATAATTTACCTTGGCTAACAGCAAAGGGAAAGGGTTGACCGTTTGCATAGAAATTGAGACTTTCCACAATGATAAATTGATCTTAGCTTCTATGATTCAGAGCCCGAACGAACGACGGCTGTGTTCGACCATATGTAGTTTTAAAACGTGACGGGTGGGTCACAGCGACGATGCGTAATTTGAGCTAATTTCTGTCGCACTACTAAGCGCGTTAATTTAGTGGAACTAATGAGTGGAGCGCGTGGGTGGCCAGACCGCAGTGTTTGTTTTATATATTCCCTCGATCTCTTTGAGGTAGGCGCAGTATTGAGGGGGCATTGGATGCGGAAATTTGTTTCTTTCGAAGGAAATGATTGGTTCGTTTGCTGTGTGAAATGAAGCGTGTAGACTTTGAAGCTGTGGTGCTCAACTAAAGGCTGAGAATTGAGAATCAGAATTTTAGAATATTTATCGTCCGTTGTGTCTTTTTATAAATATGATTTCAACAAATCTTAAATACCTAACAATATGCGATTGACAGTGATGTTTCAAAAATTTCTATTATCGATTCGCAAAATCCGCATCACCCAACAGGCAAATGTTAAATTCGCCTAATGATTTGCATAAAAATTATGCAGAATTTGTAATGTTTCACCGCATGAACAGATACTGTAATTGTGGTCTTCGGAAGGTTTTATTTTTTTTTATATTTTTATAATAGGGGAAATGACGGCTTCGGCATGACAGACTATTTTCGGCAACCCAAATTGAAACACTATTTTCACTGGATTTTCTTACGAAAACACTTCGCTGAATGCATGCAAACGATTCTTTATGCTTTCAGCTTCAATTTGACTATATTTTTACCACTGAGAAAAAGCAATCTAGCAGGGTTTTCTTGAAATGAAACACACGCACTACAAATTGTAGCTGATTTCGAGTTGCCGATAATAGAACAGCAGATTTACATGCAGTTCAAATGGAACGGTTGCAGTTTCATGAATTGACCAAATTTACGGAAGCGTCGTAGTGAGGATATGCTACGCCCCATAACAAATTATGAAAATGACGCTCTTTTCAAATTGATGAAATGAAACGACAAGTCTAGATAACCACTTCAAACCTATCTGATCCATTCTCTTCATCGACTTTCTCTTTCGTTAATAACTCAGCTGCACAACCTTTTCCCGTTTTGAACGCTAGATAAGAACCTCCTTTAACGAACATTGTGGTAACAATAGCACCGACAACCCGACATAAATGACCATGAGAAAAACAATAAAATTTCTGACCAAAGCACACTAAGCTAAGCCATGAACCCGCATGCAAAAGTAATGAATTGGGTCGTGTCTGATCTATTCTGGACAAATTATTTTTATCTAGTTAAAAAATTATAAAACAAAAACAAACATCTGTGAAAAGAATCAGCTAAATTGGTCAACGTTAAGAGGTCGCGCCAACGATTTCAATTTTGTACTGCACATTTAAATCGACCGTTTACGATTTTCGGGCATAAGTCAGAATTAAGTATCATGTTGGTTTGTCGGTGACAATAGTGCAAACACTGTCTGTATAGTAGTGGTTATTAAAAGAGAAAGTTGATGAAGAGAATCGATCAAAGCAGATAGGCCCTTTTGAAAAAATTAACTAATTTTCAATTTTACCTCTCAGAATTCCATTTACGATGGTTTTAGCAGTTTTGATGACAAAAATTTGTGATTTATTTTTCAGTGTGTATTTTTTTTCTACAACTTTGTCTCAGACGTCATTTCGATTAGATGAGCCGTTTTCGTGCTATGATCGATGAAAAACTATCGAATACCTGCATCATCTAGGGGATTTTACGTATTCTCGGCAACCTAAGCAGCGACCTTCTTTCTAAAGCCTTTTTCTCTAACGAACGCACACATATGCAGTATTGGTTTGTTTACAATCTTTTGCTGCCAGCTGCTCTAACAATTTCAGTCGAAAGAATTGTCAAAAACTGTTTTGAAACGCTTTTACAAAGCTCCAATCTTCTCTTGTGAGAGCGAGTATTGTCGGCAACCAGTTTTTCTTGGGCAACCGTTCCATTTAAACTGCATGTAAATCTGCTGTTCTATTATCGGCAACTCGAAATCAGCTACAATTTGTAGTGCGTGTGTTTTATTTCAAGAAAACCTTGCTAGATTGCTTTTGCTCAGTGGTAAAAATATAGTCAAATTGAAGCTGAAAGCATAAAGAATCGTTTGCATGCATTCAGCGAAGTGTTTTCGTAAGAAAATCCAGTGAAAATAGTGATTCAATTTGGGTTGCCGAAAATAGTCTGGCATGCCGAAGCCGTCATTTCCCCTATATATATAAATTAATTTTTGTTTGTCTGACCCTTATAGACTCGGAAACTACTGAACCGATCTGAGTGAAAATTTGTATGCAGGGGTTTTGGGACAAGGAAAGGTTCTTATGATGGTTTGAGACCCCTCCCTCCTATGTAAGGGGGGGGGGGCACCCATACAAATGAAACAGAAATTTCTGCATAACTCAAGAACTATTCAAGCAAATGGAACCGAATTTGGCATTTGGAGGTCATAGGGGGTAGCCCCTTAGATAAGAGGGGGAGGGACTACGTACAATATAACATGCTTTATTTCTTAATTGGCGCATAAACTCAAGCTAATATTGAATCCCGAGCAAGGTCGGACACACTTTGCTAGTTTTAAATAAAAATAGGCGACTGTCAAAATGGCCGAATTCCTGCCCAAACTTGGTTCATTGCCCCTAGTAAACAATTATGCGAAGTTCCATGGAATTTTGAGAGGTTAAAGTAAAATTGATTCGTTAGTCGGCGTGGATTTGTTCTCCTGTGAATTCTCTAGAAACTCTATTCAGCGTTCCTTAAGAATTCGCCCAAAAAACGCTTTAAATTTCCTTCCTAATGTCCTTAGAATTCTCTTGGAATCTTCCTCGTAATTTCGTCAAAACTTTTATCAGTGGTGGATCTCTTATTAGAATACTTTTAAAATTATCCTCAGATTTAGATTCCTGTTGAATTCTTATTGGAATTCGCTTGGATTTCTTGTCATAATCTCTTTTGAATTTTTGATCAATTATTTTCAGAATCTCCCTTGAATTGTGCTCAAATTCCGTTGGATTTTTTTTTTTTAAAGTTTCCTATTTATTTATTTTTTCGGATTTCACTTTATTTTTCTTAAAGTTCTATTAATACTCTCCTTATAATTTATTCTGGGATTCTCCTCAGAAGTTCTGCGACAGTATTTCCTTGAAATTCTCGTCACATAACTGTTCTACCGTAATGCCAAGCAACACACATGATCTATAACAGTTTAAACAACCTTTGTATAACTAGTTATGGCTATATAGCAAGAAGATTCATAAGAAGTTTAAAAAAGAAGCTCTTCTTTATGAAAAAAAAAACACCAGAGCAGTAGATTTGAGTACCCGAGCAAAGCCTAAGATGAAATTGAAATGTGCTATCAGTGAGAGCAAACTGAAATCTCAATTTGATATCAATTTTTCCTGTTGATATCAAAACAAGTAGGGGAATTTACGTATTCTCGGCAACCTAAGCAGCGACCTTCTTTCTATAGCCTTTTTCTCTAAGGAACGCACACATATGCAGTATTGGTTTGTTTACAATCTTTTGCTGCCAGCTGCTCTAACAATTTCAGTCGAAAGAATTGTCAAAAACTGTTTTGAAACGCTTTTACAAAGCTCCAATCTTCTCTAGTGAGAGCGAGTATTGTCGGCAACCAGTTTTTCTTCGGCAACCGTTCCATTTGAACTGCATGTAAAGCTGCTGTTCTATTATCGGCAACTCGAAATCAGCTACAATTTATAGTGCGTGTGTTGCATTTCAAGAAAACCTTGCTAGATTGCTTTTTCTCAGTGGTAAAAATATAGTCCAATTGAAGCTGAAAACATAAAGAATCGTTTGCATGCATTCAGCGAAGTGTTTTCGTAAGAAAATCCAGTGAAAATAGTGTTTCAATTTGTGTTGCCGAAAATAGTCTGTCATGCCGAAGCCGTCATTTCCCCTATTCCATTTGAGAGATGAACTAGCCTAACGCTAAAAATCTCTTTAATAAAGAATAAAAAAAAAAAAAGTATTCCATTTGATGTTATGCTAAGGCAATAAAAACAAACCCGCAAC